CCCGGTAGTACAAGTCATAAGCTCTAAAGAGTTCCGCTACAACTTCAAACACAACCGTATGGAAATAAGTATAACCGTGTGAATATAAAATAGGAAGGTGACTCTGAAGCCTGCGAACGCAGCAGCAGGTTTACCTCGAGTCTCCTTGGCGAGAATCCGATCAGCTACTAATGATCAATACCCGGATCTGCACACAAAAAAATGTGCAGAAGTGTAGTATGAGCACACCAAAGTGGTGCCCAGTAAGTATCAAGACTAACCTCGATGGGGTAGTAACGAGGAACAGTCAAGGCACCCACTGGTCTAATAAGCAGAACTAGTATTAGTATAGAAAGAACCGAACATGATATCTATATAAAAACTAAGCGATATTGCTAACAATGCAGTAACTACCATAAGGAAAGGAAACAACAAGTAACAACGGAAAACCATAATAAAGCTCATAAAAACTATACAAGAAATACAACCCAAATTCGCAATCACAAATACAGTAAGGACAAGTTATAACCCAGCAACTACGACAGCTTTCACTTTAGGTCATAGCCAACAACTTCAATCAATTAGTCAAATCTTTCAGCCGATAAAAAAATCATTTCGAATTGTACTTCCCGCAAGTAAATATTTTTCCGAAATAGTTCTCTAAGGATGAATACCTTTCGAATATAACCTTTTCAAATAAATATCCTTCGAATATAAGTCACCCATGTGAAACCTCATCTCATAATCGTACAATACGGCCTGAACTCTAACACTTAGCATCCTGTGCCCTCATCACACCTCATAATCATACTAACAACTCACGTGCCCAAAAGAGTCATTCTCACATGGAAGGAAAATAAACAAGAGTGTGCGTCTATATTCAGAAATCTCAAGGAGGTTCCTATCCGATAAGGGTGCTTAGCCACGTGTATGCTTGTGCAAGTGTCCTAACATAGTTCATACCAGCTAGTAAGCATAAGGACAAGAACGGACATCACATATAATGTTTACACAGGGATATGATCAATAAAAACAACAGCCCAGAACACAGTGATAATAACAGGGGATCTCCCAAGATACCGTCCCGTAGTGCCAAACGTAAATGTACAGAGGATCTCCCGGGATACCGTCCCGTAGTCCAAAAGTAAATATCCAGAGGATCTCCCGGGATACCGTCCCGTAGTCCCAAAGTAAATATCCAGAGGATCTCCCGTGATACCGTCCCGTAGTCCCAAAGTAAATATCCAGAGGATCTCCCGGGATACCGTCCCGTAGTCAAATTCATAAATGTGCAGGGGGATCTCCCGAAATACCGTTCTGTAGTCCCAAAGTAAATATGCAGGGGGATCTCCCGGATGCAGTCCCGTAGTCCCAAAAGTAAATATGCCGGGGGATCTCCCGAAACACCGATCCGTAGTCCCAAAGTAAACACGCAGCGCAACCAACAGAAACCATAGTCACAACACAACAGAAAGCTCGTACATCACCATAATACATAAAACAACAACAAATGACAATAATACAAGGTAAGACAAGTAAATCAACTTAAGGACTGTAAATCGCAAGGAAACGGCAGAATCAACTCACAAGGCGTAACCACATAAGAGAATGCTGGCATGAAGGGAATAGTTCAACAACAGGGACACTAATATATGGCGACGATCCCACAATATACAACTCAATAACAAAGAAATCAACACGAGCCAAATAGTCCCAAATAAGGGCAAGTCAACAAGGACATAGGTTATTTAACTTCTTCTTAAGATTGGACAATTTCGAGGATATTCGACAATTCGATTAGGAGAAGATAATCTTAGCTTCACTTAAGACTAAACTATTTCAGGATGGGTAATAATAATTCTCAAATAAGATAAGCAACTATGAAGAGGTAGCATGACAATAGGAGAGGCAAAATTCTTCAGTAAAATTAATTAGGAGTCAATTAAGCAATAAGAGTGAATCATGAAGCAATTAATCCCAATTAAGCATATGGAGGTGAAACAAATAAATAGGAAACTCAGTCATGTCAAGAACACATTCCTACGAGTAATATAAAGACGTAAGAACCCTAAAAGGCCAATTTTTCCACAAATAAGTCTGAGCATGCACTCGTTACCTCGCGTACACGAACTACAATCAACATAGAAGACTCAAATCCTAAGGGGAAGTCCCGCACACAAGGTTAGGCAAGATACTTACCTCAAAGACGACACACCGATACTCAAGAATGTACTTCTCGGGTGAAAAGATCTCCGGACGTCTCAAATCTAACAAATTTAACTTCAAAGTACAAATAAAAACACATAAGAAACTATTCCGGATCCTAAAGTTTCAATCTTTAACAAAATCTAAAAATCGGTCCAAAAATTGACTCCCGGGCCCGCACCTCGGAACCCGACAAACTTTACAAATTCCGAATACCCATTCCAATATGAGTTCAACCATACAAAACTTACCAAATTCCAATACCATTTCATCCCTCAAATCATGCAATTTCGTTTTTTTAAAAGTTTCTTCAAAACCCAATATCTTCCCTAACAAAAACACAATTTAAATGATAAGAACAAAGACTAATTCATGTAATATATTTAAGTCTCAGTGAAGAACACTTACCCAATCGATTTGTGAGAAAACCCCTCAAATAATCGCTCAAAACCGAGCTCCACAAGTCAAGTTATGGTGAAAAATGGTGTAACCCTCGATTTGGAATTATATTTTGTCAGCCCAGGCTTTTGTGCATCGCGAACACGGAGGGAGTATCGCGTTCGCGAAGAAGAGAATGGAGGCTGCCCAGGTTACTCAACGCGAACGCGATAATACGTCCGTGAAAGCGAAGAAGGAAAGTCTGATGGCCCAAAGACTGCTCTTCGCGAACGCGTGAACTAGTACGCGAACGCGAATGGTGGGATGGCATAACTACGCGAACGCGATGGACAGATGCTAACGCGATGAATGAAGAGACAAAGCTACGCGAACGCGAGGCATTTTACGCGAACGCGGAGAAGGAAAATGAGGCGACCAGCAGAGACACTTCGCAAACGCGGAAGGGGCTTCGCGAACGCGAAGGAGGATATCAGATACCAGAAACAGCAGTTCAAAAACAAAGGAAAATGGCCCGTAGCCCACCCGGAACACACCCGAGGCCTCCGGGACCCCGTCTAAACATACAAACAAGTCATATAACCTAACACAGATTCGCTCGAGGTCTCAAATCACATCAAACAACGCCGAAACAATGAATCACACCATGAATCGAACTTAGGAACTTTCAAACCTTCCAACTTCTAAAACTCGAGCCGAAACCTATCAAATCAATCCGGAAAGACGCCAAATGTTGCAGACAAGTCCAAAATGACATAACGGAGCTGTTCCAACTCTCAAAATCGCATTCCGATCCCGATATCTTAAAAGTCAACTATGGGTCAAACTTCTCTATTTTCCAAACTTCACTTTTCGAACTTTCGCCGAAACGCCCCAATTTACCCTACGGACCTCCAAATTAGAATCCGGACGCGCGCCTAAGTCCAAAATTACCATATGAAGTTGTTGAGACCACCCACAACCATTTCCGGGGCCGTTTACTCAAAAGTCCAATTTCAATCAAATTTTCACCGCTTAAACTCCCAAAACTAGATTCCTTCTTCCAATTTGACTCTAAATCATCCGTTAACTGAATTCAACCATGCGCGCCAGTCGATACTCATATTATGAAGCTGTTTCAGACCTTACGCCGCTGAATAGAGCTTAAATTCTCAAAACGACCGGCCAGGTCGTTACATCTAACGTTATGGGCTATCTAAAAATCATGTTGTATTCTTCAATTGAATTGACTAATCAATTTATCAGGTTTATTAGTTGTCGGGGTTAATATTACTCATAAGAATATATCGTGGTCTTACTCATCTATTCAAGCTAACCTAACACATATATGTCTATAGAGTTAGAATCAACAAGAATGCGTAATTTTCGTATAATAACCAAGCAAGGCGAATCTATTCCTCTATGCCCGGTTCAAGAACTTGCTCTAGTCAATCATACATGCAATCTAGGATTTTTATTTTCGAGTTCAATTCTAGATTCGTAGGTAAATTCAATTGATGATCAGACAATCAAATAATTAAGCGCATATTGAATAAATAACGCAATATGATAAATCAAGAAATTAAAAATAATATTCATGAAAGAACCACAACCCTAGAACGTAAAGTTTAGCTCCACATAGATATGGTTACTAAATAACAAATCATCCAAAGAAACATAAAAATTATTAAGTTTGATGGAAGAAAGATGAATTCCGGCCTTCGCGGTAACTCGTGCTCTCCCTTGGTCGAATACCCCTCTAAAAAAACATCCAACCCCCTTCTTTGACATGTTTAGGGAGTATTTATAGGTTAGGATCGAAGTCTCCAAGTCCAAAACTGAGTAGAAGATAATTTATTCACGGATTGAGAGACCAGGCCTTAAGCCAAGCAGGGCCTGATCTGTAGCGCGCCATAAGCCAAGCAAGGCCTGGCGTAAGGCCAGGTTGAGCTCGCCTTAAGCCAGGCGAGGCGAGGCCTGGGGCGAGGTACCTTTGCCTTGCTTCGGTTTTCTCCCTTTTGTGCTATTTTCTTGTGTCTCCGACATCTTTTTGTGCAACTTTTGTCCTTTATGTATTTTAATGATCCGACACATAAAAATAACTCAATTAAGATCAAACGTCACACAATTAAAAATATTAAAATGCAAAGTAAGTAATGCATTAAAAATATGAAATTATAGCCAAACATCAACTATCAAAGACAGGCCAAGACCAAGTTCAGTGAGTTCAATTGAATTTATTATTTTTGACTCGAATTACTCAAGTAAAAAGGATGGACCCCTTTTTAGGTGAGCATATGAGTACACTATAATTTGTAAATTTAAGGACGATATTTCGAGTTGATAAAAACTTACGTGCACCCAATGAAAAATATGATTTTGCCTTGCAGGTGAAAATTAATGACATGTCTTTATACAATATCAATATGGTGACAGAGTGAGAAAGGAATTTGATCAGAAACTAGTATTAAATTAAAATCTGAACTTTTATTTGTTGTCAATACAATAATTCATGAATTTGGGATGTACTACAGTATAAAAAAAATTAAAAGAGACACACTATATAGACTTTTTAATATGACAAATATAATCAACAAAAACTATATATAAATTTAATTGCTTTGTAATTTTTTATTTAGGTAAATTAATCCACTTGGATTCCTGAGTCATATGTTTCACCAGCTTTCCAATTCTCAGGTATATTATTGACAGGAACAACCCAAGTCTCATCTCCATCATCAGCACTGAGTAGCATTCTTATTTGCAATGGTCCTCTTGGAGGTGAAGAACTAGTCCATACTGCTCCACGTGTCCTATCCAATAGCTTGCATACAAAATTTTGTGTCTGCATATTGGAAAGAATTTTGAGTTATATGTAGGAATTTTAATGCAAATAGCCGGTGGGTTTACTTATTTATTTTTCTAATCGGTATATAAATTATACGCTGATTATTTACGGTTATACACATCATACATGAATTATACATATATCCCGAAATTATAAATACTGAATTTTAACCTATAAAATACCATAACGAGACTAATTTTCATGGCGATTAGCAGTAAAGACTTGGTAAATAAAGGTCATTACTTATGAGACAAGGAATTTCACTACCATAGGACAACTAGAGTTACTGGCACCGTTTATCGGGACTTCCTTCAAAGCTTATAACAAGAATTGCTTAAGTCGCTTCTTTTTCCCGCTATACGACTCTACTCGCAAAGTGAATACACATAAATAATCTTTCTGTATATCATGTATATTAACATGTTAATTGTTACTACTTGTAAGAAATCACCAATTAATATTTCTCACAAAAATTTACTTATAATTACCATGTAAATGACGTGAGCCTTTATATAATTATTATACTGTTAATACATAGAACTCAAATTTATTGGGAGAACATGCGAATGCTTAAAACTTTGTAGCATAAAATTTTGGATAAACAACCTTTACTTGTTCTTTTAGATTACTTGTTAAAAAAAAATTACTTATTATAAGATGTTAAAATATTGCACTGATAATGTAATTTTTTTGAAGATTCATACCTCACACAATTGCACAGCAGTAATATCCGTTTTGCCTTGTTGGTACCATATTACAAAAGCCAAGTAATAAGGATTATCGCTGCTCTCATCAATCTTGATTGTAATATTCTTGCTTGGGTAGCTGCAGGATATCCTGTTCAATTGATACAGAAATTGTTACAAATGTTAAGTCTCTCCCTAGCAGAGCCACATAAATTGATAGTATATACATTTTTCGCAGGGATTTCAAATCATAATTAAACTCTGAACGGGAGCCTTGACGTAACTGGTAAAGTTGTTGTCATGTGACCAGGAGATCATGGGTTCAAGCCGTGAAAACAGCAACAACAACAACAAACCCAGTGAAATCCCACAAGTGGGGTATGGTGAGGGTAGTATATACGCATACCTTACCCCTACCTCATAAGGGTATAGAAATGTTATTTTCGGAAGCGGTCCGGCCCTTCCCCGGACGCCGCACATAGCGAAAGCTTAATGCACCAGGTTGTGCTTTTTACAATTAGCTTACTCTCTCTATTTTATTTTATATAGTAGTGTTTCACTGAATAATATACAGTTTAAGAACTTAGTGATGCTAGATTTGTCATAGCAATCCTATGGCCAGAAGCATATGTCATTAGGGGTAAAATAAGAAATTTAAAGTCAAAGGGTTTTCAAATATAAAACTATGTCATGTTTTATTTTACAAATAGACAAAAATTCATATAAAATAAAATAAAACATTTACTTCATCCCAAAATAAGTGGCTTTCGCTTTGGGAGAGTCAGTTTGGTTAATCCTCAAACCAAAATTAGATCACCTTAATTTTAAAAATTAAAATTTGAATATTCAAAAACTACTACTATAAGTTGCAAATTTTTTTAGCGTCTGTATGATGAAACAATACGAAGGAGAGCCTTAGCGTAACTAGTAAAGTTGTTGTCATATAATTCACGGGTTCGAGTCGTGAAAACAGTCTCTTGCATAAATGTAGGATAAGGTTGGGTACAATAGACCCTTGCCCCTTCCCTGGACCCCGCGCATAGCGAGGGCTTAGTTGATCGGGTTGTCCTTTTTTCTTATATGATAAAATAATACATTTTAAAATATTAATTAAAGTCCGCATAATTTGAATCTCGAGAAGCGAGAAAAGACACGATAGTTAAGTGTAGCTAGTTAGGCAATAAGAATTACCTTCTATACTCAATATCCACATTACCAAGTGATAATAAAGAAGCAGCAGCATCTTTAGTCTGAGCCATTCGACCAAAGGCTCTCTGGCTTAGAATAAAGTCTGTGCCACCACTTGCTCCATGGTCAGTTATAACTACAGTAACTCCATTATCCGAGCAGTAGTTACTGTTTGTGCACCTCACCTAGCAATAATAACATGATAGATTGTTATACAAATAGTCGGCCAATTTCACTGTTTAATTTTTCTAGCTGGTTGTATATATAGATTATATATTGATTATACATAATTATACACATATTATATCTAAATTATTCATATATTATACACTCGCCGGCTATTTTTAGTTTAAGAGATTAGGTGAATGGTTATTTGGTGTTAATATTTCAGGATTTTGGAATCATGACAACTTAATTAAACATATGAAGTCTTAGCTAGTTATTGACTCTACTATTTTCTATCTTAGTAGAGGGTGAATTTAACTTATATGCACAAACAACATAAGAAATCATACAAGAATTAATGTATTTCGACATGTCTAGCAGGTTACCTTCTAAGTTACTAATCAAATCTGTATTATCTTTTAAGAAATTTACTATAGTGTAAAATAAACATTTCGCACTATTAGTACATAAAAATTAAAATCGATAGAGGATTAATCAATATATTCCTCGATGCCTTCGTTTTATTTTATATATTGAATGGACACAATTTTAAAAAGTACTGACTTTTGGGATATACTAAAAGTGTTACTAGAATTTATGGTCTAAAACATGCTGAGACATTATTATGACTATTAAAGCAAAGCCATTAAGGAAAAAATGAAAAATTTTAAATTTATAGAATCTTCAAATATAGAAAGATATTATTGTTTTTGGAACAGATCAAAAAGAAAAAGAGAGTTGTGTTCCCTCCGGTTCATTTTACTTATCGTAGCTACTAAAAATAATTAATCAAAATATTTATCATCTTAAGAAATCAAGATAGAATTAATTATTATTTCCACCTTTATCCTTATTGCTAATATATGTGGATAGAGATTAATACGGTGAAAATAAGAGTGATATTAAATTGAAATCAAAGAATAAATAAGAACAATTTAGCCAAAGTATCCTTGAATTTATATTTTCTTAACGGGCGTGCAAAAAATAAATATAACTGAGTAATATGGACAAGACGGAAAACCTGATAGCATGCGCCACATCCTAGACCATCTCGATAAAGATCTGATGCAGCGGATACATCTCCACCGTTGATTGTTGCTCCAAAAGTACCAAATCCACATGCCCCAGCTGCATTTATTTTAAAAGAAATAGTTATATATTGGATCAAAATTAAAACACCAGTATTTCAGTCTATTCTAACATAATTAAACATGTTACATATCTCTATATATTCTCTATCATGTTTTCATGATGAGAATTAGAAGGCGTTTAGACATAAAAATTATAATTTAAAAAAAAAGGTAATATTTGAAATTAAGTTGATAAATAATTTAGAATTTAAAATTATGTTTGGACATGCATTTCAACCTTAAAAAAATATTACAGTATTGTAAGTGAGGAAAAAAATCTAAAAATTTTGAAAAAGTGATTTTTTGAGGAAAAAAAAAAATCTATGGACAAACGGGTCCTTAATCTCACTTTCTGTTCCTTTTTCTTCTGAATTTGGATAATAAGCTGCTTTAGAATGGATGAATGTTTGAGCATTTCCCATATAAACTTGCATGAAAATAAAAGATGTGAAAAATATTGCAAGAACTAATTGAAGAGGAGCCATTTGAAAATTAAAGAGAATAAGAAAGAGAGTTAAGCAAAATAAGAATAAGTTGGTGGTTCATTTAAATGGATATGGCCTTTGCTATTTATAGAGAATTGTCGTTGAAAATTATACCTATAACATCTATATAAGTCAAAGTTGAGACATAAACATTTTCAAGTTCAATTTGAATACATGGAATTCTGGCTCAACTTTCAGCAGCTACCTTCTTACTTCTTAGATACCTAGTTTCTAAACTTTGAATCAATGTATTATAATCAGTTTCTTACTATCAAACAGAGGTGGAGCCAGAATTTGAACCTTATATATTTGGGCCGGTTTTCATTCTTTTGAGTTACTGAATTCAAATTTAATAATTAATTTGTACATATTAAATGAGTTACTTACGACAAATATACAGCTTGAACCAAAAATTACTGTGTTCTACCGAACCCACTTCCTATACTTTAGCTTCGCCCCTGCAATAAGGGTTGTTGTAGGATAGATAGGTTCTCCCCCGCCCTTAACCAAAGGTATAGTTCGAGCCCTAAATATTAAAAAAACTCTTGGTAAATGGATCTTACACAATACGAATCTGATTTAATTATGGTTCTAATGCGAATACAGAATACCGAACCAAAAAAATTAATCATTTTCTTTATCTATGAAATCCTATGTTTTGCCATGGTCAGAGTAGAAAGCAATAAGTAGTATTCAATTAACAATTCCAATGTCAATTATTCACTCTGGTGACAATCGTTAACTTTCTACATGGCCTCATTGTTGATAAGAATAACCTCAAAAACGACGTACATGCCAATTGCTCCACTAATTTGAATATAAGACTTAACTTACAAACATTGAGTGTAAATATTTTTTTAAATAATATTGAGTGTAACAGGTCATTTGCTTTAGTTTTTAAGTTATTAATTTTTTTATGAACAATTATCTATAGTTATTTTTTAAATAGTATGAAAAATTCTTATAGTATAAGTATTTAAAGATTTAAACTCATTTGACTATTAGTTTGTTTGGCCAAGTTGCAACAATCAGCTTATTTTGAGGAGTGCTTTTTCTCAAAAGTGTTTTATTCAAAAGTATTTTCGGCGAGAAACAGTTTGTGTTTGGCTAATTAATTTGAAAAGCACTTCTGAACATCAATTAGTATTTAAAACCGCTTCTAAGCGTATTTTTCTTAAAAGTGCGTTTCAAAAAAGTGCTATCGAAGAGAAGCTACTTTTTTCTGCTTTTCCAAAACTGTTTCCGCTTCTACTCAAAAGCACTTCTTTTTTTCTAAAAGTTTGGCCAAACAATTCAACTTTAAAAAAATATATACTTTTTTTGAAAAATAAAATATTTTTGACTTTGGAAAGCTTGTCCAAATAGGCTAACATATATACCTTTACTGCTTGGTATGAAATCATATATTCCTCATATATTTGGAAAGAGACAAACTTTAATTGAAATTTTCTTGTAGTAGAAGTAAATTGGAGGATTAGTTAGGTACTTTAGCATTATACAAGTGTATAAGCAAACATACATGCATTCGTTTTGTTTTACCAACTTTGCAGCCTAAAGAATATAAGGAAGTATCCCACGAAACAAACGTCCTTTATTACACCTACCAGGGGCGGATCTATAGTATTCGGTATAGTTCACGTGAATTGAATAACTTTTAATTTATTCAAATTTTTTATGTATTTATGAAATTTATTAAATATATAATAATTGCTTGAAAGTCAATTTGTTTGATCTAGTTATTATTGTATATTAATTTGAAATTATTATTAAAATTCAAATCCTGTCACCGACTTTCCAGCCTAAACCAAAAGAAAAAATTCCAAACTTTTACCTGCCTAGAGATGAAGCCGTGGAGCAGGTAGTAAAGCTCTCGTATCCCTTTGTTTTGAACTTTTTGTGATATGCCTTAACAAAGGATTGTCTCCGTGTGTCTACAAGTTATAGGTTACGAGTTTGAGACGTGGAAGTAATAATTAATACTTGCATTAGTGTAGGCCGTCTACATCACATTTTTTGGGATGCAGCCCTTCCCTAAACCTTGCAAGAATGCATGATGCTTTGTGTACCGGCAGTGACGAAGCCAGGAATTTCATGAAGGGTCTTCAAAGTTTAATATACACATAAAAAAAATTGACCAACATACACGATATAAGTTTCTATATACATAGTATAATTTTTTGACAAAGAGTATTTGATTGATCACCCTTCAATGCGTGAGGCTATGCCACTGTGTGCCGGGATGCACTACTAGAAATCCGGAAAAATACGACCACGAAAAGCGACCAGTGTTGGTCGCTTATTGGCCAAAAAGCGACCAAAAAGCGACCAAAAAGCGACCAAACGTGCCTGGTCGATATTAAGCTGGTCCCTTTACCTTAGGGACCAAAGTTGGTCGCTAAACTTTGGTCTCTCAAGTCAAAGGACCAAATATTCCGGTAAAGACACTGGCGACCAACTTTGGTCGCTATATTATTTTAATATTATAAATTTGCGACCAAAGTTGGTCTCATTTGTGTAAATTTCATTTTTTTTATTTAATAAAGTAGCGACCAACTTTGGTCTGTATACGAAATATTATATTTTAAAATCTGGAAAATTGCGACCAAAGTTGGTCGCTATACTATAAATTTTTTAATTATTTTTTTTAAATAAGCGACCAAAGTTGGTCGCTAAATACATGAATTAATTTTTTTATTTATTAATAAGCGACCAACCCTGGTTGCCATATTTCCAGAAATTGTTAATTTTCTGGTAAATAGCGACCAATCTTGGTCGCTTTTTGGGAAATCTGGGTTAAATAGCGACCAACCTTGGTCGCTATTTCACAGAAAAGATTTTTTTTTTTAATAGAAATGCGACCACATAGCGACCAAAGTTGGTCGCTTTTCTTGGTATATTGCTGGCAGGAACTGCCTCTTTTGGCAGCTACACCACCTGCCAGCTTACCAAAATTCCTAAATAGGCAAATATGCCAACAACAGCAACAACAACAACAACAACAACAACAACAACAACAACAACAACAATTATAATGAACAAAGTATAAAGTTCAATAGAACTTTATACTTTAAGCTAATTAGCAAACTAATAAGTTAAATGTTATTACAGAACCATTCGAAAACCAATTGTATTTGTCTAGCATAAACTAATAAGTTCAAAGATTGTTCTCTACATCATTATCATCACCGTCTGATGAACTTTCTTCACCATGGCGGTATCTAGAATGGGCTATTTGTCGATGATGGGAAGAATGACCAAGGGGAGGACGGGAGGAATGAGCACGGGGAAGGCGAGCCTCTGGCGATGACTCACGAGACCGGGGAATTGGAAAATTGCCAGAAGCTAGGAGAGTTTTGATCTGCTCTTGCATGCCCTTGCACTGAGCTTGCATGCCAGAGTACTGCATATCTCTAAGCCTTTCTCTCTCCTTGGCGGCTTCTAGCTCGGATGTGAGTTTTGCCACAGTCTCCCGCATAGAGGAGAGGCTCTCCCCATCAAGTTGCTCGGCTTGGGAGGAAGTCCATATTCCTTGAATTCCACACTTATAGCAATGGAATTTCTTATTAGGAAGCCCGTATACCTTCCCCCCTTTTGGACCGCCAGCAGCCTGCGTCCACATTCTCTCAACATCCTCGTCCGATAGTTGGATTGGCGCGCCGGACTCATTAGGTGGCTGACTGCGTATGAATTGCTCCACTTCAGCTGTGAAGCGACCCTATAAGAAAAATAATATGTGAATTACTATTTCCAAATTTATATAAAAGTAAATCAAAATTCTTAATGAAAAGTGAAAACTTACATGTACAGTCGAGGCTCGGCCCTCGACCCACCTTTCTTGGTCCTTCTCTTTCTTCTTCTTCACAATATGAGTCTCCTTGAAGAGCTCATCTTGGTTCATCGGACGCCCCAACTTTTTTTCCTGAAAACTCATAAATTTTAGTTAATAAACAGAATACATATACTAAGAAAATTAAAATAAATTAAGCAATTACGTACCATTCTTCGTTTTATCGTCCCTAGGCTGAC